GCTATGGCCTTGGAGCATAACATTGTCTCTTGGGGTGGTCCCTCTCGCAGATCTGAGGAGTCGGTTCATTGTATCCGGTTCTCCTTGCTGAGCCGGACTTTTCTGTCGTGGTCCTTTTACAATTCCGCCACTCGGGGTTCGTTGTAGTAGCCTGATTCTTTTACTGTCCAATAGTGACCGGAGCCAGTGGTCGGGCTGAAGCGTGGGAATGGCGTGATGGGTTTTCCGACATCGCATATCGACAATTTTATAAACCAAATAATGCTCTGCGGAGATATGCGTATGTCACAAGGCAAAATCACCAATTGCTTTTGTTGATTGGTATTCCTTGACCTGTGTGATACCAGGTCGACTATTAGGTGAAATCCGCTAGAAGGTGGACACCAGCGCCCCCGCCGTGAGTTCCTTCACGTGGTAACACATGCAAACGTACACTGCCGCCCTTCACACTAGGCGTGCAATATACAACCCGTGCCCACTGGCTTTCGGTCCTCAGCTTAGGGGCGAATTCAGCTGCCTTTTTACGGAGGCTTCCCGAGTCCGAGCAATATGGAGTGGAACAAGTTCCCTGGCATGGGTGTGGGGCGACGCCTTGGTCGGCCTCAGAGCCCCAACACTCTTGGACCCACCGCCCAATCGATTAAATGAAAAATGTATAATATAAAATTAAAGCTCTGCAGCCTAAATACTCCAAACTTTTCGCACACGGACGAGGACTTGCGACTGGGCTCCAACCAAAAGACGCCAGCAGCAAAGACAATATAAACACTAAAATGAGTAACGCCCATACATTTGAATGCGACGCAAAGTTTCTATCCTGGGCTTCGCACGTCATGCCTGCCGACGGCTGTTCGTTCAGACGAACGAATTGTCGCGGCTTGCTGATGCTGCTACGAGCAACGAAGTTAGTCGCCAGCCTGCCTTCAGCAAAGCTGGTCGATGGTGCTTTGCGTCGCTTCGTTTTCGAAGTACATTGAGCGAAAAAGTTTTAAACTTACGATCGACCAATAGTAATTTTGGATTATCCATGAAATGCATGCTTTATTGTAATGAACCATTACCTTAGATACTAACGATACATTTTACAGGATAATTGAATAAAATAATTTTCTTTTACAAATGGCATCTTGTGCAATAACTATGTTAAGAAAATAGCACACATAGTTTGATTTCACTTTTGTTTTTGGACAGTGTATGCTCGAGAGAAGTTCTTGTCTCAGTCAAGGGCGTGCAAGCACCTATGTTTGTATGTGTGAATTATGCATGCATGGCTACATCAAAATATGTATATATGTGTTGTTATTCACTGATCTGGCTTTGGCTGGCAAAGAAATAAATTTTGTTAGATTTCTAGCGCTGATCATGCATGACCTATCCCTAATTTGTATTCACATATGAATGCATGTTCTGTACTGAGGTTTTTAAAGTCGATGCAAATATTTATATAATTTCTTTAAATTAACTTATTAATTAAATTATTATTATTTTAAAGAAATAAAAAAAATTAAAATAAAAGTGCAAAATTTTTGTTTCTAAAGATTCATTAAATCAATTTTTTTTTTGTTTAAATTTTTTTTTCTTTGCCGGTCGAACTAGCTACCGACGTATTTAATTTACCCTATTTAATTACCCTATTTTTAAAAAACAGATTTTCTACGGAGCCATGTTTCGTATGTGAATACAAATGTGGGGTAGGTGCATGATCAGCGCTAGAAAACTAACAAAATGTATTTCTTTTCCAGCTAAAGTCAGAGCTGTGAGTAGCAACACATTCAAATATGCTTTTATGTACGTATATTCACACACATACAAACATAATTGCTTGCGCGGCCCTCATAGAGCCGAAGCTGAGAATACATTCTATTTTTAGCTTTTCGCTCTTTCGGCTGTTTGAGCGAAATGATACTGATTTTGTTCTCGTTCTCCATTTTTAAAAAAGCAAGCTGCATAGCAGCATTTTGTTGTATGGCGTTACTCATCTTAGTGTTTATATTGTCTTTGGTAGCAGTGTCGGTGTCTATGGAGAGTACTCTGTCTAGTACACCCAACCCATCACCAACTAATAGACCAACACCAAGCGCTCAGTCGAGTGCAATCAAACCAGTGGTAATTAGCGGTTCAGGCAATCAGGCGCCGTTTTTCCGGCGCAGGGAAAACGGAACCGGTCACAAAAACTGAGCGGAAGTGAACCTAAATGGGCAAGAGATCCATTGAGTGCCCAGCGATCAGTAACGCAGAAGAACACCAGGGGCTTCAATTAAGTTGCCAAAGATTGTCTGGCAATAACTTTAGAAACCACGCTCTCTGACCAGATGGAAGACAATGTCAGGGTTACCGGGTAATCAGGTGCGCGGATGAATGTTCGATTCTTTCTGGAAAACTGCATCGCCAAGATTAGCAATGACTGACAATGTAATTTTCTGATCACATACATTTTCTTATAGCATCAGCGAACAATGGTCATAACGATAAAAGGGTTCGGTGACTTGATGAATGAATCTCTATACGTGGTAGAAAACTGTTTGTCAAGACTGCCTGATTGGTAATCAACGCACAATCCAAACCATAAGAGCTAGGAAGCTGAAATTTTCACTAGCGTAACCTTATTTATTGGAGGTGAACGCTAAGACGGGGTTTTTATGAAATTGTATGAAAATTTGTTTGTTAATCATATAATCCGCCTCAAACTCATTTTCAGACACATTTGGAAAATGTAATTGAGGCGTGTTTCAAACTTTCCGCAAAATCTACCCTTTGATGATAAATGCCGGTCAAAGGTTGAATATGCGAAGTTTCTTAAGTGAAAAGTGTGAAACACGCCTCAATTGAAATTTCTAAAACTCTCTAAAAATGAGTTTGCTTATCTGCAAAGATTCATAAGAATATATTGGATGCTGCTGTTTCGCAAAATGAAGGACCAAGGATTTTTGAAATGAATACGTGTTTTTAGCGATTTTGGAAATTCCACCGCAACTATAGAAATGTAGCGGAACTGTTGCATGCAACTTTTTTGTTAACCATAGGATTGGCTACAAAATCATTATCAAAAATCTTTGTTGGTCGACGTTCGCATAAAACTCCTTACGGACTGCTGTTTCTCCAGTAAGCAGCGACAATTACCCTGCATAATAAGCAATTGCTAAGCGAGAATTTGACTACATGCTTAAGCAGGGCATTTGCAGTACAGGCAGCAGCCAAAACAAATGGCGGCCATGCGGCGCCAACAGTTCACTGAACCATATCATAAAGCTAGACAGGTATCTATTGCCGTATATTCATGATTTCTTTTACAAAGTCAATGACAACTCTATCTTCACGACAATTGATTTGGAACGAGCAAATCATCCGATACCAATTGCTTCGAAAGCAGCGAAGCCGAAATCGTTGTACCATTTGACCCATACGAATTTAATATGACTTTTGGGCTATGTATCGCAAGCTATCCATTTCAAATATTCATGGACCAAATATATTGTGATACGAACAACGTAATAGTCTACATTCTTCATCGCATCACAAAATGAAAAGGAGCAGCATATTAACGATTTTTTTGGCAGATTACGGCAACATGAACTACGCATAAACGCCTTAACATGCATCTTTCGTCAGCCAAATTTTTCTGGCATATCACGAACACCGGCATTACACTGGGCCGGATACAAGTAATTACAGCAGAACCCAGGCAAAACCACACCACGATTGATCAGTGAATATACAACTTCGTCGCAGAAACACTGTACAGAGTTGAAGCAACCTATTACGATGATCAAACAGCTTTTAAGAATCAAGCATTAAGTCAACGAGAAGACGTTGAATTGAAACAGCTCATTGAGAATTTACATTTACTGCAAATAAAACAAATCCAGCTTGACGACTTAAGGGAGTTGTAGTACTACGACATTTCATCAAAACGAATCCATCATGCACAGCTACCTTATGCAAGTTTCCAGTTAGATTTAAACGTATAACACGCAGGTAAGCGCACTACAGTGAAATTCATAACCGAACGTCTCGTCTGGAGAGACATGAAAAGAAACATACAATCCAATGTCAACAACAAAGCAGCGCTTTAAAAGTTCAACCTGCCTAAAAAATTCAAATATATCAACATTGATAAAATTGGCCCTTTGCTTCTGCCCAACAATTACAGGTACTATCTGGCGTGCATGCTCATGCTGGTCGATTGCAGTCTCAACAGCAGACATAAATGCAGAGACGGCAGCTAAAGTTCTATTGCATGGTTAGATCGCTTACTACAACATGCCTTATTTCATGACTATCGATTAAGGCAGACAGTTTAAGTCTTAATTGCTTGAGTTAACGGGATTCAAGTATCTGCGAACGGCAAACCACCAGCAAACCAACGGCATGATAGAAAGAATGCACAAGACGCTGAAGACCACCATCAAATACCACACTGCCTTCAACTGGATCGATAGCTTTCCTATTGTACTACTTGGCCTACGAGCAACAGGTAAAGAAGATCACAACGTCCGTCTACTGCAACCTTGCGAAGTGAATTCATCAAGCGTTCAACCATGTCCCAGCTGAGGCCTGTAAATACATCACACCACGCCACTACCAAAGTATTCTTGCAAAAGTATTCCGCTCTAAGACCTTACAAGGGACCATTTCCAGTTGCCAGTGACAACGAAAAACAATTTGTTATCGATATCAACCCCAAGCATAACACTCGCACTATCGACCCAGTTAAGGCAGCTTACTTAGAAGTAGTAGAGGCAAAATTATCTTCACCTGCAGCTAGCTTTAACAACCGAGAAATGAAGGACATCTTCGACACGCCGAAGATTTCGTATCTTTGTAGACAATTCCCTTTGGCAGATATGTGAGAAGAGTGAAGCCCGTAAATGCTGAGTTCGATGAAATATCTTCTACAACAGAATAGTTTGCCATATAAGAACCTAATTTTTGACGGAACGTTTTTTTTTTATATATATATGTACGTATTTTAAAGCGTAAATACTGCAGACTTTTATTTCATAGAAATAAACGTTTCAACTCTTTTTTTTTTGTCGTGAAATGTGTAACGTATAGAAGACATATCCGACCCCATAAAGTATCTCGCGACCCTCCTTGATCAGATCGTCAATGCTCTTGCCCTTGAGCTCCTTAATCACGCCCACCGAGCTGAGGATCTTCTCTAGATCGACATTGGCGGGGCTCTCTGGTCCACCGAGGACAGCCAACAGGTCTGCAGCCACGTAACGCATGTTTAAGTCTTAAGTTTTTGACACGAAACGTGAAGTGCACAGAAAAACACAACTTTCGCCTAGGAGACCTTTAAAAGTTCCTACGGCAACTATCTAATTTAGTGGTCTAGTGGTGAACAGATCTTTCATATATGTACGGAGCACAGTAAAACAAAAAAGTGTTCAATACAAGAACCTACTTTCGCTCGATTGTTTCTATGGTACCTATAACAAAGACAATATAAACACTAAGATGAGTAACGCCCATACATTTGCATGCGACGAAAAATTTCATGCCTGGCGTTTCATCTGGCGTTTGAGTTTTCGCACAACATGCCTGACGACTGCCTATTCGTTCTCCAAAAGCCAGACGAACGAATGCCGAAGTCGCGGTTTGATGATGCTGACCCGAGTCAGCCTGCCTTCAGCAAAGCTGGTCGATGGTGCTTTGCGTCGTTTTGTTCTCGAAGTACATTGAGCGAAACGTTTTAAGCCTACGATCGACGCAAAGTACTTCTGCTTTACCTATGTATGAAATGCATGCTTTATTCATATGATACATTACCCTAGATACTAACTATAAATTTTGCAGGAAAAACTAAGAATAAAATAATTTTATTACTAGGCGCAACTGGTGCAATTACTATGTTAAGAAAATATCACACATAGATTTATTTCACTTTTGTTTTTGGACAGTGTATGCTGGAGAGAAGTTCTTGTTCAGCCAATGGCGTGCCAGCACCTAAGTTTGTATGTGTGAATGAAGCATGCATAACTATATCAAAATATGTATAGGTATATTTGTTGTTATTCACTGCCTTGGATTTGGCTGGTGAAGAAATACATTTTGTTTTCTAGCGCTGATCATGCATGAACTATTGCAAATTTGTATTCACATATGAATGCCAGAACATCAAGAGCTGTGAATAACAACACATTCAAATATGCTGTTATGTATGTATACTAACACACATACAAACATAATTGCTTGCACGGCTCTCATAGAGCCGAAGCGCAATTTACATTCTATTTTTAGCTTTTCGCTCTTTCGGCTGTGAGAGCGCAGTTATACTGATTTTATTTTCGTTCTCAAATTTCAAAAAAGCAAGCTGCATAGTAGCATTGTGTTGTATGGCGTTACTCATCTTAGTGTTTATATTTTCTTTGCCTATATGATATAGTGGACCGACCCGACCGGTTTCGACATATGTACTGCTTACAGCAGAAAGGCGGACTTATGCAGAGTTTCAAGACGATAGTTTCACAACTGAGAGACTAGTTCGCATAGAAAGAGACATATGAACATGGCCATATCAACTCGGCTGTTGATGCTGATCTAAAATATATTTACTCTACGGGGTCGGAGATTTTTTCTTCCATACAAATGTCATGACCAATACAAATGGGTGGGGCGGGGAAAACGCGATTGACTTAATTGCACGCGGAAAAATTCGCGACGGAAAATGAGTAGTGTATAAACGAATAAGTTAATTTGTAAAAAATATTGAAATTTTTCAAAGAAAATTTTAAAGTAATCTCATGATCATGCGTTACTCTAAATAATACATAAAATATTTTTAAAATAATATTTGGGTGAGATTTGATCGAGAAAAAATATTGTCTTTAAATCAATATCAGTATTCTGAAATAAACCAGTAGCCTAGTTCCCCATTCAAAACAAGAGCATTTCAGTTGAATGCAGCTAACTGAAAAATTTATAACGTCATTGAGAATTCCTATTTATTCCTATTATTTTTATCGTAGTAGTAGTAGTAAATTATTCCAAATTTCGCCGTAAGTTTTGTGCGGAAATATAGATTTTCCACGCCCAAAATAGGCGTAACCATATTATCTAAAAAAAGTTATCTGAAGCGATACCTATGCATGTATGACTATGAGTATATATTTTAAATTTTTTTAATATCTGGAATTAAAAAGGGAGGAAAAATTTAATACGAGAATGACATTGCACAAAAAAACAATATACTCTTTTCACCCTGTGAAGGAGTATAATTAAATTTTGTGATAAAAAAAGTCGGTTGTTTTCGGAAATATTTCAAATCAAAGATTCTAACGAAAATCCTTCCAAATATTTCGACTCAATCCCATAATGCCTTAAGCCAAGCCCAAAATTGAAAAACATACTTATATTAGTGATTTTGTTTCGATTTTCGTTAGTTCTGATACCACTGGACTATGTTTTAAATACGGAATACTCGATTCTTATTCCAGGAATTGAAAATAGTAAAACGGGTACATTGAAGGAAGCATTTCTGACCCCATATAGTATATATATTCTTGATCAGCATCAATAGCCGGACCATCCGTATGTACGAACGTGTCGATCTCAGAACCTATAAGAGCTAGAGACTTGAAGTTTTGAACGTAAGTCCTCCTAGTGCGCGATTTCGGTATCGAAATTAGGTTTTAAGAGCTAGGATCTCTAAATTTGACATGTGTCTTTCAGAATAGTATATACAAATCAAGTATCTTCAATTTTATAGCTATCGCCAGCCCCCAAAAACAAATAATTAAAATAATGTTAACTTAGGCTACAGTATTAATGCTATTATCTTCCTGGGTATATATAATACTAGCGGGTATAACCCGGCCTTGCCCGCGGAACGTATGTTAAAAATCAACGTTGTCAAAAAGCCTTGAAAATGATTTTGAAACTTATCGGCCGATAAACAAACAACTTTCATACAAACGTTTTCCGCCACTTTACCAATGTTGCGAGTGGAATTTTCCAAATCGCTGAAACAAGTATTCATTATATTCTTTGAAAATAAGTTAGAAGCAAATCGGACACAACTTAAAACTTCGCACAAAAAATCTTCGCATTCACACACACGAAAAAGTTTGGATTCTGCAAAAAGTGCGAAACACGTCTCAGATGATTTTTCTTATAGATCTTTGGAAACGAATTTGAGCGCGAAACGTCACCCACCAAATCTTTGACCTCCATTTCCACCAAGGATGAATGGATTTTCTTAAAAGTTTGAAACACCCCTCAAATGAATTTGAACAAAGATCCTTGAAAATAAGTTTGAAGCCGATCGGATGGTAAACAACAAAGTTACATACAAACGTTTTTCGCGAATTTTCCACACATGCGGGTGGAATTTCCCGAAACCCCGTTTTAACGTGCACCTACATCACATAAGGTAACTACAGTGAAAATTTCAGTTTCCTAGCTCTTACGGTTTGGGCTGTGCGTTGATCACCAATCAGTCAATCAGTCAGTCAGTCAGTCAGTCAGTCAGGACAAACAGTTTTATATATAGAGATATATAAATTCTATAGCACAATAAAATCTTATGCTGACAATTTCATCAAAATCGGTTAAGAATCACAGAAGAATTATTATATTAAAGTGTGGTGTTATTATAAGAAAAAGTGTGGTTATATTGGCAGGTCACGTGTTTGAGTTAGCTAGCGCAAATTGCAAGAAATTCTGTATACAAGTGCTCACATAGAAGTTGTCAAACCGATCACGCATAGCATGGTAATAGATCAAGAACGTCTATGGATATTGTGCAGCAACACCAGAAGCTCAAGCTTCAGTAAGCGACAATGTTGCGGGCAAGCTCCGCGACGTAAGCAGTCATCTTGTGACATCGTGCTCGAGGCGCGGGGTCAGCTCTTTTAGGCCATAGGGCTAGCTTTGGTTATAAGAAATAATGTTCTCAGACTTTGGTTTATTGTTGAAAATAAATCACGTCGGTCATCGCCACACTACGTATAATCACTCATTTAGGCAACACTGCACGTTACAGGTTTAACCCATTTAGGAATTGCTTAATTTATATATCCTAGATCAGCATCAACATCCGAGTTGATATGGCCATGTCCGTCTGTCCGTCTCTATGCAAAGAAGTTTCTCAGTTATAAAGATACCGTCTTGAAGCTTCATCCGGTCCGTATTTCTGTTGCAGGCAGTACATATGTCGGAACCGGCTGGATCGGACCACTATAGCATATAGCTGCTATAGGAACAATCGGTCGAGAAAAAGGTTCTTGTATAGAAACACTTTTTTGTTTATCAAGAAATCTCGGCATTTATTACTTTCAATATGCTCCCCAGGTGTGTGCAAAATCTTATCAACATTGGACCACTACATCATATAGCTGCCATCGGAAAGATCGGTCGAATATTAAGTTCTTGTATGAGCAACTTTTTGATTTTTAAGAGAGGTAGAGGTAGACAAACGAGTTTCACTATTTTCACACACCTGCAAGACCTTGAGGCTACTGGCATGCCGAAGATATCATTGCTTAACTCTTAAGATTCAGGTTCTTCTACAAAGTAAGGAACCCGTAGTCAAAGAAGTCGTACAGTGTGTACAATAACAATTTTGTACTTAGTCATTTGGGCTAAATTCATTATTTCTTTGCAGTACGATACAATGCTTCCATGCTTAAGCTGTACAAAGCTCTTGATGCTCTAAGTCCTGTCGACTGTGAAAATACAAAAAATGTCTGCGCTAACCTCCACAATCGCAGACCAAAAACAAGTTAACTACTCTGCCTCATAAACGAACGATTTTATTATAAAAACAAAAAACAAACTGTTAGGGTTTATGACAATTTTACTACCATACTACCCCACTTTATAAAAAAAACGATATTTAAAAATTGACGCTAGCATGTAAATATTTACCTATCATTTCGTTCTCGTGCTTTATTCAATCTATTATAATCTGGATCTTCGCGACGTCGTTCACCTGAAAATAAGTGTTAATAATTATGTGCTACCTGTAATTTGTGAATTTATATAATGGTTTGTTACCCTGTAGGCCTGGACTAGCTTTTGTATCATCATTTGTAGAAAATTCCTGAGTACGGCGCCAGCTTATAGTTCCTGCATTGGCATTGTCACTATCATTTTTGTCAAGTTGAACTTCCGACAGTTTTTCATTAATAACCTCTTCGTCACAACGAACTTTCTCCTGTCGTCGAGTTTCTGCTAAACGTTCTTCGATCTCTAGTTCTCTTGTGGCGGTATCTACTGGTTTGGCCGATCCAAATACATTTAAAGGTGTACCACTTTGCTTAACATTGACTTTTGTATCGATTTCGTTAGCATGTTCGTTATCTGGTTTAGTTACTATTTC